TTAAAGAGACACTCAGCTGTGTTCTCTAAAAAGTTAGGAACAATGAAGGGGGTTAAAGTCAGACTGACCCTAAGACCTAATAGTGTACCAAAATTCTGCCCACCACGTAATGTGCCATATGCTCTTCGACTGCGAGTGGAGGCTGAGCTAAAACGCCTGACTGAGCTTGGGGTAATCTCACCAGTGGCGCATAGTAACTGGGCCACGTCCGTAGTGCCTGTCAGCAAGAAGGATGGCACAGTGAGACTATGTGGGGTTTTCAAAGTTACCCTCAATCCAGCTCTCTGCGTGGATAAGTAACCAATTCCACGCACTGAGGACTTGTTTGCTTCTCTAGCAGGAGGTCAATGCTTCAGTAAGCTAGATTTATCAAATGCCTATCTACAGATGGAAGTAGAGGAGAGCTCTAAGAAGCTGCTGACAATATCTACACAAAAAGGACTATTTTGGTTCAATCGTTTACCTTTTGGCGTAGCATCATCTCCCACTCTATTCCAAAAGGCTATGGACCAAGTACTTCTCGGACTGCCACACACTCATTGTTAATTGGACGACATCCTAGTCAGTGGTCCTGATGAACTGACACAACTCAAAACGCTGGATGCTGTCCTGAGAAGGCTAGAGGAATATGGCCTACACCTCAAAAGAGAGAAGTGCCTGTTTTTCCAGGAGTCTGTGGAATATGTGGGCCATATCATTGACGCAGCTGGGCTTCACAAATCACCTGAGAAGGTACGTGCCATTGTGGAAGCACCAGCACCAGGTGATGTCAGCCAGCTACGTTCGTTTCTAGGGATGCTAAACTATTACGGACGCTTCATTCCTGATCTAGTCACTGTTCTAAAACCATTGAATGAACTGCTCAATAAAGAGAAGAAATGGCAGTGGACATCATCTTGTGAATCAGCGTTCCAGAAAGCTAAAGCACTACTAGTATCGCAGGAAGTTCTCACTCACTACGATCCTGAGCTGCCTCTCCGCCTTGCTTGTGATGCTTCACCCTATGGGGTCAGAGCTGTGCTCTCGCACATCATGCCTGATGGCGAAGAAAAACCTATAGCCTACGCATCACGAACTCTCAACAAAGCGGAACGAACTACGCTCAGATCAAGAGGGAGGCATTAGCAATAGTCTTTGGAGTATGCAAGTTCCATCAGTACCTTTATGGTAATAAGTTCACTATACTCACTGACCATCGCCCGCTAACAACCATTCTGAGTCCAGTGAAAAGTACACCTTCAATGGCTGCAGCTCGAATGCAGCGTTGGGCGCTCCTCCTGGCAGCACACAATTACACCATTCAATACAGGAAAGGTGNAGTGAAAAGTACACCTTCAATGGCTGCAGCTCGAATGCAGCGTTGGGCGCTCCTCCTGGCAGCACACAATTACACCATTCAATACAGGAAAGGTGCATTGCATGCCAATGCCAATGGACTGTCGAGGTTACCACTCCCTCACACCCCTATTGAGAAACCAGGGGCATTAGAGGTATTCTACACATCTCAGTTAGTTACCAGTTAGTGACACCGAGATCAGACGTAACACCATGTCTGACTCCACCTTGTCTCATGTTATGGAAATGGTCACCACTGGTCGATTCCCAGCTGCAAAGGATGTGGGTGAAGAGCTGTCACCCTATCTTCTGCACCGATCTCACAACATAACAGGGATGCCTCATGTGGGATGTTAGAGTGGTTATACCACCTAAACTACGCCCCAGTGTTCTGAAAGAGCTCCACACAGCACATCCAGGTGTGGTGAGAATGAAGAGCTTAGGTTGCAGTTATGTTTGGTGGCCCGGCATCGACTCTCAAATCGAGCTTCAAGCTAAAGCCTGCCATGGATGTCAGCGTGTACAAAAAAACCCTGGTCTAGCCCCGTTACACCCTTGGAGGTGGCCATCCAGTCCTTGGGAAAGGATTCATGTGGACTTTGCAGGTCCATTTGAAGGACATATGTATCTGGTCACTGTGGACGCACATTAAAAATGGCCAGAGGTGCGCATCATGGACAGCACCACAGCCAGTAAGACCATACAGGTGCTTAGGGGCCTTTTTTTAGTTGCTATGGCATTCCACACGTTCTGGTCAGTGACAATGGACCTCATTCCATTCTCTGAAGAATTTGGCACATTCCTGACGTCCAATGGTGTCAAACACATCCGTTCAGCACCATACCATCCTGCCACCAATGGCTTGGTGGAGCGTTTCGTGCAGACGTTCAGACATGCCTTAAAATCATCCAGAGGAACAATACCGGGGCAACAACGCCTTGATACGTTTCTCTTGACATACTGCAACACCCCCCCACGTGACAACAAAAGAGATGCCAGCTATGTTGTTCGTTGGACACAAGCTGCGTTCTCGATTGGATTTTCTGAAACCCAGTGTGGCTGGAGCGGTGCACCAGTCACAGGGTACTCAAGCAACGCCATCTCCAACGGTCTAAAGAGAGACAGTTTGGGGTTGGGGTGCCAGTTCTCGTGTGTGATTATAGGAAGGGGGAGGATAAGTGGACACAAGGGGTGGTGATGGAGAAAACTGGACCAGTGTCGTACAAGGTAAATGTAGGAACACAAGGGGTATAGAAACGCCATGTGGACCAGATGCTGGCTCGTTCCGAGTCAGTGCCTCAACAGACTGTAGTGCACATGCCTGTGAATCCTCCGTTGTTACTACCGCAGAGTGATAGTTGCCACACACTTAACCCTAGTACACCTCACCATAAAGAGGATACTGATCAAGTTCCTGAGACCACCACTAAAACACCACAATCCATTGAAATGCCACATATGGAACACACACAGGTAACAGAGACTGTAAGACGCTATCCTGTGAGGATTACTAAACCACCAGTACCGTACCGTGATGAGTGAGCCTATGGAAATAGTTGCTATTCACGAATGTTTGAGTTCTGAAACTTAGAAGTGATATATATATATATATATAAATAAAAGTAGCTCACCTTTTTATTAATTAATGTTACTAATAATAAAAAAAAGAAATGTGTTGTGCAAAGAGGAATTACTTTCTTAAGTAAATGTTTTGTGTTTACTAACAACCAATCTTAGTGGGGAGGGATGTTATGTATGAATCTGAATATATGTTCTAAAGGTTTCTACCAGTAGATGGCGCAAAGCAAGTGTGCATGTGTAAGTTGTAGTGTTCTGGTATTCAATAAAGGAAGCACTGTGCGAGTGCGCGAATTAACAAAAAAAAAAAAACGGTCTCTGCGTAGCCCTGTGTGAAATGTAAAGTGTTGCATATTGACACAAAAGGGAGCAACATAACAATATGTCCCTGCCCGGAGATGTGCACCTAACTGGGGAGGTGCGCGAAAATCTGAGGCGGCTGAAACGCGGGGTGGCGGAAGCTAAATTAAAACGGGAAGCCACAGCCCTTACGGTCAGCTGTCGAAGCTGCCAGAGGTGCCCGCAACAACGGCAAAAGCGGCAAGCAAAAAGAAGCGGAAAAACCGGAGACAGGAAGACGTGCAGGAGGTCTCCCAGGGGGCTGTTTCCTCGGTCGGGTATTGGGAGAACCCACTCCCGGTGATGTCGCCACCGCCTCACAGCAGCCGCCTGCTGCTTCGCTGCCCTCATCTGCAACGGGCCCCTTTTCCGGAACGCGCCTGGCCCTTAAAGGGGCCCGGTCCATTTGGGACACTATCCCGCGGGTTCCCCGGTTCCCGTGCCGGCTGTTTCCGCAGCGCCCCCAGCGAAATAACCATGTGATATTGTAACAGTCCGAGTGTCGGTGCAACGGTGTCGAGGTATTTTTTTATCACAATATCGTGGTATTACGTTCATCGTTACATCCCTACTAACCAGACATTTATTAACACCCGCAATTTTGTAAAAAGATTAGTAATAAGCTTAAAATATTAATGAGAGACCCTAAAAAGTTAGTAATCTGCATATATTTGGAGTATCCTTATGTTTAATAAACCTGTCAGACTTGAAACTGCAAAAAGTACTACCACCCCACTGACGTCTTTACCTTGTTAATCCAAAATATCTCCTTTCAAAAGAGGTTATGGCTGTTGAGCTGCCCCTTTCTTCGCGTTCATGTATAACAATACAACAAATGTATACAAACATAATGTAATTTTGGAGCCGAAAGAGGCAGCTATTTTTGATGAGCTTAGCCAAATGAATGATCTGTCTTACTAAAGATTTCCTATCACTATCGTCTGCAGTCTTCTAAAGAAGCTTTTCGTAGCATGCAATCACAAAACCAGGAGCCATCAGCTAATAACATTCACTGACAGAAATGGCCAGGAGCCCACCCCCAAACTGAGCGCAAAAATTTCACTTGACCACATAGAGCAACTTAAGGTAATCCACTTGGCGCAGGAGGATAATATGATATTTATGCACTTGAAAAATTAAAACTTGCAAGTTTATATTTTTCACTTTGTGTTTCATCGCCCTTGAGTTTTGACATGGATGTGATGTAGAGACCTGCGCCGGACGGATTTTTCAGTCCCGCTCCCGCAAAAAATATATATTATTTTCTCCCGCTTCCGCCCACAGTATTCAAGTTTTGTCCCGCTCCCGCCCGCAAAATCCCGCAGGTAAACATATAAGTAGTTTTATTTTTACCGCTTCTTCCCACTACTCTGTTATTTGTTTCACTTGCTTTCCTTTTGAGTATATATAAAAAAGAAACGGAAAATAAACAAATACGTTTTGTTTTATTTGAGTTTAATTAAATGGAATGATGAACATGGACACGAACGAGGAGCTTTTCAGAACACGCTATCCCGTCCAAGCACCAGGCTGATTCCTTCTTGGGGTGTCCGGTTACGTCCCCCGGCACTCAGAGCGCGGCAATTGTAGTTTCTGTAGACGATTCACCTGTAAATTGTTATTATTTTAATTTAGTCGTTCTTGTTGCTTTTGTGCAGTAGATAAATAATAGAGTATTTGTTTTTAATAAATTAATTTTAAGATAATTCCATTTTGCGGGAGTCCCGCTATTAATTCTATTCTCCCACAACCCGCACATACAGTAGGCTACATGAGGACCTTACCGCCCGCATGCACCCGCATTCACCCATCAAATCTTGTCCCGCGCCGCACTCGGTGCGTTGGGTCCCGCGTGTCCCGCGGTACTCCCGCGTGAGTGCAGGTCTCTAATGTGATGCCATAGTGCTAAACCAGAAAAATATAGTCTGAGACCCAGTGTGACAGAATAAAAACAAAGCAAAACATCAAATGTGTTTTTCTGAGTGAATCTGTGGGGTCTGACTGCCACATTCACAGACAGACATGGGTATGAGCATCCCACAGTCCCACCACTCATGAACCTCCTCCGTGTACTACTGTTGTCTGAAGCAACAGGCATATACAGACCTGTGGTCCATTGCTTTATGCTGCTAATTCAGTAACATTCAAGCCAGTCTAAAGAAGACAAACATGCCACTGAAAACACAAAAATCTAGAATCCATAAGAAAGTGCAACCTGTGTTTCCTTTGAAACACAGTAGCCAGCAGGCAGGATACAGATGATAGTCTCAGATTTCAGATGAGCAGGCTTTAGTGGGAAATTAGTTTATTACTGTAGACCCCAAGCCTGCTACCTAGCAACAGTGTTTCATGAACGCATCGGCATTCAGAGAGCAAACTCAGGCTGTAAAAACAGCCGTAACTCATCGGCACTTGAATAGACAATGAACGGCAGTGGCAGCAATCAAAGACTTTCCCTACAATATGCCATTAGCATGGGCTTTACCTCACACATTGAGAAAACAGGCAAGGCTCCCTGTCTATGCTCAGTTAGATGGGAACCCTGTGATCCTTATTATGCTTATCTTTGTAAACTGGCTTAAACAGATGCCCAAAACCCTCCAGCCTGACAGGGTGAACAACATGAGCTGAGTGGCACATACCAAGAAGGAAAATGCTGGAATTTAATTAGAGCCTCCCTGTTGGTCATCTGACCCCGTGTGATATGAAGGTCCTCAGAGTAAAGGCAGTTGCAGAGGATGACAAGGGTGGGGGTGGAGGGGTCACAGAAATAAAAGATGCCTGGCATCACCACACTCTGACTCACTTCTAAACCTCTGCCTTCTGACCCTTATGCTTCATCAAGTCCCTGTAACAAAAAACAACTTTTAATAGAATGAAAGGCCAGGAGAAAGTTTATCAGGGGAACACAACGTTTTAGAGCTGAAGACTTTCCCATACACATGAGATCGTACCAGTATTACAGCACAATAAACAAACAAGGATTAATGCCCATGTGCTACTTTATGGGGTCAAGTGAAAGACTATGTGACTCGTTCCCACTGCAGGCCACCACTACTGGCTGGTCGATGAGCCCATCATCTTTCAGCTGATTTTCCCAGAACCATAATTATCGCATCTAGCCTATATACACAGTTTATTCTGGTCTAATCACAGAGCAGATAATGTGGATATAGCCTGCTGAGTAAGCCATTTTTGCTTTGTCTTAAAGAAATTTTACTAAATTACTAAGTTCCCTGTCCCTATGGGAGGAGATCATAAACTGTAATTAGACTGATGCCAGAAGGGCGCATTCCCAGGACTGTCACCCTACAGCACTGGGATCCTGTAGCACTGACTGATGGTCTGGCATTGTTTCATCACGTGAGAGATTTCACTACTGACTAAATGGGAAATACTGAAGTCCCACACCTGAACACATATAGGAGCCACTTTGACTGCAAAGAGCAAAAACTTCAGGCAGAGCCCATCTTCTCCAAACTTCTCCATTAGGTATTCTGAATATGACGTCAATGCGCTTGGCGCTGAACAGACCGGCACGCGTCATCAGAGAACAGTGCCATACAAGGCAAAAAATGCGCCAGTGGACACAGCATTGACACACGGTCCAGCACGCGCTCCACGCCACAGAGTACACACATTCAGCCGAGATTTATTTGGTGCTCACAGGCCTTGTGTGCACGACTGCTACATAAAAGGAAATGTATGTATAGCTCTGCACTAGCAGGGGGCCGCAGACACCCAGCACTCAGCAGAGCCCCCAGCTCTGCCCAGGGGGGGAGTGTTGCACAGCTTAGTAATTCAGAGCCCGGGATGCTACGGCTTCAGTGCGCAAAAAGAGTACGGAGGTGCCCTAGCATAAGCAGCATTCCCCAAAAGTACAGCTGCTAACTACGTTAGCAACTTGCATAGTTGAAACTATGCAATTACAATGCAAGTGAAACTATAGTTCAAACTATGGAGGTAACTATGTTACGAACTTGCATAGTACGATCCATTATTAAATGACACTTCCCATTTGGGCATTTCCCAAAACCACAGTTCGAACAAACGTTTACTAACATTGTCATAACACTGATCTTGAGCTGTAGTTAGAAGCTTAGTTCTGGGTGACTATGTCATCGATGGTGGAAAATGCAGTCAAAGGAGGGTAGTCACCATGTAAGTAAGGTGAAAATATTAAATAATCTTGCTGTACAACCATCTATAAAGTCAAGTGCTTTAAGTGTGGTTGTAAGAGTACTTTTTATGTACTTCTCTGTCCATGAGTATGGTATGATTAGGGAGTGCGATGTTTACCCACCTTGTTTGTGCTATATGGTAGAATTCACTACATAGATAAATATATATTTAAGGCTGCACGATTATGACATTACAATATCACACTGAGTAATATTGCAATATTCAAAAAACCAAAAAAGAAATGAAATTACCCGAAATAAATTATTGCCAAATAGAACTTATTTAACAAGAGTGTGTGTAGTAAGTCTGTGGTGTCGTCGCAAGTTCTGTCAACAGACATGCACATCACAGACATGCACATCGCGATGACGATGCTGCAACAATTTATCATTCAGTGTTTATGTACACACAGTATTAAATAGGAAAAAACATGGGGAAAGCAAATAAAATACAGGCAAATTAATGACTAAAAATAATGAATCATTTCTTAATCACTGAGAGCTTTTGTTACACCGGTGCTTGGATATGAACACATGGCAGTGAAGGCAAGAAACCTGGTATACCATGTGGGTATAAATCTGGGTGTTACGTGTACCCATCAATCCCACTGAGCCACTAATAGCTGTACAAACAGAGACTGATCAGGAATAAGTGTTTTTATAATAAAAATAAAATAAACATAAGTACAGATAGAGCCGATTTCACTAAGTGTGTTGTAGCCTAATAGCTCTATTTGCCTCTACAAGAAGCATCACGCAATTATAACATTATGATTCTTTTGCTATTTTTGAGTTTTTAATATTATTATTGTAGTTATATGACTGACACTATAAATTAATAATGTAATATCGGCACAACTGTCATGTTTAGAAATAACAGTACAATAGTTTGTGAGTTTTTGCAAGCAACCCATTGTGAAAGTCAGACCAAATACCTCTGGAGCCATTGCAGTTCAAACTATGGTGGTTAAAACTAACGTGGTTCAAACTATTATGGTACTAACAAAGTGCAAAGGTTTTTGGAAACAGTCGTACTTCAGATGTTAGTTTGAACTAACAGAGAACGATACATCGTTAATGCTAACCTCAGTTGTTGTAAGGGAAGCGCACCCTAGGAAGAGAGTGACTGCGATGACAGCTCAGGGCTCAGCACATCATTCACTGATTAACATCCCTACTGTACATCCCT